CATTGTTAGGCAATCATTCAAGAAATGATCTTTTATCTTGTTTTGGAGCTTTATTTTGATTATTTTCATAATTGAAAATGTCCATTCTATAGACTATAAAACGGATCCAGGATTTTTTCCTTGGGAGGGGGGCCAAAATTTTTCTTAACAAAATTATCTTAATATGTTATGTTCAAAATAATTTTCATCTATTTAAATATATGATATCTTAAACTATCAAATTTTAATTTTAATTATAAAGGTATGTCTATTACATAAATATGCAACATAGTCATAACAAAAATTAGGACAAAAAATAACCTTTGATTAAATATCTTATAACATAACAAACTACCCAAATTGTACATTATGAGAAGATGCTTCAATATGTCATTTGTGCAAAAATAAAAATATAACTATACAATATAATATAACTATTTTCAATTAATAAAAGATAAAAGTTATGTTAGCATACCTTGAAATTTCAACCTCTTTTTTTAAAAGTAAATTGAGTTTTACGTTCTTTCATAGAACTAAATTCATCTATAATTGAATCAGTGTTAAATTTTGATTATCCTTTTTTTTATATACATTGTTAGACAATCATTCAAGAAATTATCTTTTATCTTGTTTTAGAGTTTTGTTTTGATTATATTCACAATTGAAAATGTACATTCTATAGTTGCAATTGATACAGAAAGAGTGAGAACAAATATCATCAATCTGCCAATAACAGGATATATCACTCAATTTCTTGTCTTCACCAAGCCTTCAAGTAATTATTTGTATATGAGTCAACAAGAGGATAGATCACTAATTTTAAATTTTTTTATCAATTAGGCTAAGGTGTATATTTGTATATGGACCAATAAAGTAATTATTTTTATTGTAGCCCATTGATAATTATGAATTAAGTCTTTTATTATAATACATCAAATTGGGTCAATTTACTATGGATCATCAAATTATATAATTTTTTGAATGTTAAATAATTAGTACAATAAAAAATAAATAACTTTTTTTTGAAGAAAAAATTAAATCAAAAGGTGGCTAATTCACACACACAAGAGATATATATACATATATATATATATAAACTCTCATTATATAAACTAAAATTGTAAAAAATTAGGGGGGGCCAACTTTGACTTATACATATATTTACATATTATGAATTAAATTTTTCAAAACTTAGGGGGGGCCATGGCCCCCCTCTGCCCCCCCTTGGCTCCATCATTGACTACAAGAAGATGAAGGTCACACTAGTTGAGCAAAGCTATTAGTGGGAGTGAGTAGATTATGATGGTTGTACCTTAAAAGTGCTTGCTCTTGCACAAAGCTTATTATATGATTCCATGTTTGAGTGGAGGTATCTTATTAAGTAAATTTGTTATAGTTTGATGTTTCCCATTGCCTGTTTTCGCCATTTTATTTGTTCATTATGGAAGTGATTTGTAAGTATTTAGAAGGTTGCACTTCTAAATTTTTGGCATTCGTTAGTTATATAACTTGCAATGACATGGATCCTGTACTCCTGTTGTATTTGTCCTCATCATACATGAATTAGCAATCCCAGATTGAAATACTGGACAGAGAACTAGTAACTGTTTTTAGATTTTCTTCTTCCATTTATAACATTACGTATGATGCAGGTCAATGTCAACTTGGCTGGTTTACCTGCATTGGTTTTACCCTGTGGATTTGTTGAAGAAGGATCATCTGTTCTTCCTGTTGGTTTGCAAATGATTGGAGCAGCATTTGATGAGGTTGGTGTTGGATTTTTTTTGTATATAAGGATCTATATTTGAGTACCGTAACTATCTGCTATGCGATTTGCTCTGTCTTATCTGTTCATGGTACTCTGGGTGATCTTTTTTGTAGTTACTGGTTTTTCAAGGCAAGCATAAGTTACATAAACAGTTTTGCATTTTATTGCAGGAAAGTTTACTTAAAATAGGCCACATTTTTGAGCAGACGCTTCAAGGTTACAGTTTTGTCCCTCCACTAGTGGGCGATGACTTTTGAGTGCTAATCACCATCTGGCATTGCAATTTGAAAATGTAGAAAGAATTTTTTCAGGGCTTTTGGAGTTGCTGTAGGTTACAAGACCATGATGGATGTTCTTCAAGCGTTCTTCCTACTAGAATACCCGCTATTTTTGCAGGCAAATTCCGTCAAGTTGATACTTTAACCTGTTTGCAATGTGTATGTTCAGAGTTATTCATTGAAGACTTGAGATGGTCCACTAATTCTCGTCCACAGTGCTAGGAAAAGTTGCTGCAGAAAGCATCTATATAATTTTAGAGGATTCATTGTCTGATATAGCAGCTGAATTAACTGATTGCTTAAGATGTAGATGCTAGCTCTCGTATTTGCATTTTGCAGTAATTTAAGGGTGTTGTATATGAAATTTTTATCACAGGTACAAAGGCTAAGTAGACCTGTTTCCACGTCATTGTCTATTTGGCATCCAAGTTTCATATCATCATTATCATTATCATTATCATTATCACAACTATATAAAAAGTATGAATGTTGGTTTTAGGGAGTACAAGTGTAAGCACTTTTTTATCTCAGTTTTTGTTATCCCTAAATTACCTCATGTTTTTTAATTAGAATTATTGCATTTTAATATGGCACTAATTAAAAGAAATAAAACACTCCAATTGATTACATTTTAATAGTATTGGTAATTAGAATTAAAAATTGCTTATTAAAAGCTATTTATCTACTCTTGGACTCCATTTTCAATTATTATACATATCAAAATTTCTTAATTGAAGCAGGAAAATTTTCTCATGAGTCATTAGTTGTCATTGTAAGAAGAAAAATCAATTTCAAAAAATAGATACTCTCTAGAAAATGAAAAAACATATAAGGACAAGAGAATCTTTATTCATCTGTATACAAAAATATCACGAGTAAATTTTACAATTATGCATTTTTTTCCAATATGAAGAATTTTTTATGTTGCATCCAATGGAATTTCAATATACAAAAATTGATGACACCTTTATAATTGAAATAGCAGTATTAAATTGGAAAAAAAAAAAATCTAAAATAGAACCATACAAACCACTATCATCATTAATAGCAACTGATCAAAACAAAAAAAAATTAAAAAAATTTGTAAACTATTTATAAAATGACATAAAGTAAATAGCAAATGAATTAAAAAACTAGAATACAATTCAAATAATATCAAAGACAACATCAAAATGACTCCGATCTCGGGGAATACAAACAATATTGGTTTGAGCAAACCAAGTCCATCCATCAAGTCAGAAGTCATCTCTAATGATAAAATAAGAATTATAATAAGGGTAAATTTAAAATGAAGAATGATAAAATGAAAATGATATCCAAATTGTTTTTAGTGATGTCCAAACTACCCTTTTTTTTCCTAACGATTACATATATTTATTGTATTGCAACATTAGTGAATAATGGAAGCGGTTATGAAATGAAAAGCTTTAAAATTAAGTAAATTTCATTTATAGTGACAATTGTAATTAGACATATTTAGTGCATTCCAATAATTGATAATAATGATAGCGGTTATGGATTAAAAGTTGGCAATTAAAAAATAAAATACCAAAAAATTAATATTAAAATTATTAATTGGCCACAATTCTCATTCCAATTCCATGATCATCGAAACAACTAATAGTAAAACCAAAAATATTGTGCTTATATGAAAAAAGTAGACTTGTTGCTTTTGTTTCGCATTGGATTGTGCTAAAAACATGAATAAAAGAAAAGCAAAATAGAAAAAACTTCAACTATCTCTATCTATAAAATTTCAATTCTTAGAATGTACAAACCAAAAAAACTTTACGTGGTAGATCATTTAGACTCCATTATTGACAAAAATAGAATTAACATGATACAAAGAATTCAAATTACATGTATGTTTAATTTTCTAACTTAATTATATTCTTCATTTATAAAAAATTGTGATGATTGTGGTTTATATGCAATAGAATCATGAATATACAATAATTTTGGTAAAACATGATATTATCAATATTTGATATGTTAGAGTTCAAGCTATAAATCAAAAAGTGTTTGGATCATAATTTCAAATTTAATCCTAAGGGATATGTCAACTACATTGTAATGTTTTCTGTCTCTTTTCATTTAATAAAATTTTTAAAAGTAACTAGCTTTAAAAAATAAATAATATAAAAATACTATTATTATGATGTTGGTGATCAAAATTTCATAAAAAAATTTTAGTATCTAAAGAATAATATATTTTAAAATATTACAATAATGTGCAAAGCACGTGAACTATTACTGGTAAACCCAAAAATTTACTCATTCAAGGTTGTCTCTTGTTATGTCTCCTCTCCTTTGGCTCTAGTCATGGCATTTATTTTTTTGAATAATTCTTTTATATATTTTTATAAATAGTTCCTACAGCACCATATGTATCTCAAGTAGTAGGTGAGCAGCTACAAATAAGAGGCATACACTCCCATCTTTTTTGTTTGCATCTGCTATCCTGTGTGGGTTTCTAGCTGTGGTTGCAGTTTCAGCATGGGTAATTAGACTATGATCAAATGCAGAGGCTTCCGACTCAGGGGCTAAGATAATGGATTGTTATATTTAAAAAACAACATACAACATTAATATTGGTGGAACTGTGGCCTTAGAACATTTATAAATCATTTGATTGATCTGAATTTAGGCAACTTTAGTCGCCAACAGCTCTTGCTCATGTCTCAGTTGTCTGATGTGTTGTTGAAGTAAGCAAGATCATCCTGATGAATTTTAGACCTAATTAAGGGGTGCTTTGCAGTAGCACATTTAATGTCCAAGCTAAAATTACACTTCTGACACATGTAAATGAGGTTTTTAGGGACACCACATGCACTACAGAAAACGGAAGCATAAAGGAGACTCGAACTACGATCAAAAAGGGTAAGGCAATGTTGAGGTTGAGGGTGAAAAGAGTGTATGACCTTCTCGGGCATGTTAGCACACGATTCATGTAGCAATGCACGGCAATGAAGGCAAACGTAAATGGAATCATCGAATGGTAGTCCACAACCAGAGCAGTTACGTTTGAAATTCTTTATACTGTTACATTGAATCAAACGATGGTCGTGGCTTGTAGGTTGAACTTCAATGTATCCATGATCAGGTCTGTCGGAGTCCATGATTGTTGGCACCAACTTGGCACAATCAAGGTCTTCACAGTAGTCGCACGAGGAACATTGGAATAAAAAAACGCGGACTTGGCCATTGACCGCAAAGATTGCAGAGCCTGTCCGGAAGAGTACGAAGCAGAAAGGTCAAGGTGGTTGAGCGTTTACAGCGGTGAAAGGGACGCTCGATTTGTGTTTGTGGAATTGTGAAGCATGATTCATGCATCAAACGTTTGTATTCCGAACAAAAGTAGATAGCTTGATAATATCCAAAAGGTTCGCCACAAATAAAGCAGGAATACTTGTGGTCTTTTGGTTTGTCAAAAGCAGTAACGGGATGCTGATGATTAATCTTAAGTTCTGGACCCCTAATCCTGGAAGGTGTCAAGGCAGCACAAGAAAGATTCAATACGAATTCACATTCAGAGCACCGGTAAGCGCAGCCCCCAAAATGGTCACCACAAACACTGCAACTTTTGGAGTCAGGTGCGATGTCAAATTGAGTAAGAGTGTGATCAGGATGAAAGGGATGCCTCAGATGCCATGGAAGTTCAGCACAGCTTCCATGAACGAAGTATTTAGGTCTCTCACACCTATATACCACTCCTGGAAGAACCTCTTGCTGACACAGTTTACATTTCTCGTAACTCCGTATAACCATTTCCTCTCGCTTAAGCTCATGTGGAGGGCTAAAATGAGTAATGCTGTTCATCTTCACATTCCCTCTGCAAATCTATAAGAAATTTGTACCTGTAGATGTATCATGGAGAAACATGGACCATCAAGAACCAGCATAAACAACAAAAACTAATCACCTGATTTCTTCAGTAACATTTCAGAAATTGTCAAGAGTATGCTCAAGCTCAACTGTATGATAACTCAACTAAAAGCATTCATACGAGAAAATCACAGAATCCCACTTGGAGATTAAGCGGATGCAGATCAGTCGTAAGCTCTAATCAAGAAACTAATCATGAAGAAGTAGAAGACTAATGGAAGAGAATCGCCTTACTTTCCTAGTTTTGACAAGATATGGGTTCAACCGTTCCAGTGCTCGTAGTTAAAATTACGTGGTCTAGTCCTCCATTATATCCACATTGCTAGGTGTCCACCCATTTTGTTTCTGATTGGTAGTACTGCATGACAGATATGGAAGTCTTGACAAAAAATTTCGTACCCATGACCGTAAATTAAAGTCGTAGGCTTTCTTGAGGATAAATTCTAAAGTTATTACGAAAAAATGAGCTGGAAGACCTCGCATAAATAAACCACCTCTGTCGTTCTTTCGCAGACCCAACAACCAACATATTCAACACCCTTCACTGCCGCCGGTAAAAATTGGGAACAGGCAGATGAACCAAAAACTGATGACACTTCGCCAGCGTAATCCTTGCAAAAGCCAATCCCATTGTACTACAGCTGAACTAGAGGGATTTTGGATTGATTTGGCTATGCCCAAGAGGTCCGAGTTGAAGCTCGCATTTGCGCTACACATCTTGCTGGAAATCTGCAAGACGAGGTCCAAAAGCCAGGGAGGGTGGCATTGCTACAGCTTTATCTTGGACCCATTTGCCGCTGTCCAATTTTATACAGATTTTCTATTTTATTTCGTATATTCACTGATGCAATGCTTCATTTAAATGGTGAAGAAGTTGTTGGACATATTTTCTTCCTTTTGATTTCCGATACTTTTTGAATGTAGATGAATTCATTTGATGCGTGAAGCTGGCAAGTGTGAAATACTTTGTATTTTCTGCATTGTCTATATCAATTTTGAGGTACCAGACCTCGCTGTGGAGAAGAATATCAATATTGCTCAACTTCATGCAGTATGTTTTCTTGTAGGATGGATATGAAAGTTGATGTCCATTACATTTGTGTGTGTGTATATATATATATATATATCTATGTCGTCCATATTTACAAATTTATGATTACCCAATGTGGACCTTATTGTACTAAAACTCCAATCAATTGTTTTTGCCTGTTGTTTTTTTCTGTTTTTTTTTTCCCCTGCAAGAGTGGCAAAAGAAAGTTTTTCTACAGCTTTCAGCATTTAATAGGGCTATATTGAACATGTAACTTTTCCAGGATTTGGATCCAGGGACTTCATCGATTGAGTATCTTTGCACAACAGCTGGTACATGCCATACTTGTTTTTGAAATATGAAGGTCGTTATTCATCGATTATTTATAGTTTTTAATGTCCAAGCCAACCTTTTTATATGCTTAGTTTATGCTTGTTTACCTTGGCTGATGGTATTTTGAATAGAGATTATATCCAATAGAAAAAGATTCTAAGAGTCAGTTTAGGTATGTGGCAGTCTTAATGATGTATATGGTTGTGGAGCTACGCTAACTTGTCTGAGCCTGGCAGCGTATAGTGCTCAAACAACATATTCTAGTTTCCAATGCTTCAGTATTTTAGTTTTACCATAAATCTTTCGTGTAGTTGGTGCCTAGTGAGTAAAGATTAGTTTCTAAAAGATTTTTCTGAAAGAGATAGAAGCAGATTTAGCAAAGCTCTGATGGTGAAGTTTAATGTTTCAAACCTCTATGCAAGAAGGTTCTTTGAAACTATTTCTTTTGGTACATTTTTAGATGGAATGACTTTCCATGCATCCTTATTTGTGACATTTATGGAGCACGATATTTTTGATCTTTTTCAATTTAGTCATATCAAGCCCTTTGACTGTTATTTGTCCTTCATCCTGCTGATGCACTCGCAATTTCATGAACAGAAAAGTTGGTGGAAGAGCAGAGGAAATTTGATGCTGTATTGGCTTTAGAGGTAAGTTTATGGTAACAATTATGCAACTTATCCTACTGTGAAATTGACTAAACGGTGGCCATGCATTGTCTGCTACGTTCTAAACTGAACCTGACACTTGTATCTGGTTATTAACTGCTTTCTTGTTCTTCCTACTATGCTAGATTTTGTGTTTTATCATCTCATTTAGCAAGTAATGTAGTAGCATTTAATGATCATTTTTTTTTCTTGCTATTTGTAATGGAAGAACTATGTCTTAGCTGCTGTTTTTCATCTAGGTTATCGAGCATGTAGCAGAACCTGCTGAATTCTGCAAGTCATTGTCAGCACTGACTGTTTCTGGCGGAGCTAATGTGATTTCAACAATAAATCGTTCCATGAGAGCATATGCAACTGCCATTGTTGTTGCCGAGTATCTCTTACATTGGGTAAGCCTATCTAATCCACACCATGTTTGTCTATTGGCTTAACGTTAGTGGAGCTTTTTTGGTCATAATTTTCACGTTCTTTTCGCCAATTTCCTTCAAAGAAATTGACTTTTTCCTTTAACATTAATATGAAACAATTCTTTGATATTTGTTGACGTCCTTTAGAATAAAAGTGGACCGTCTGTAAAAATGGATAAAAGTTGAGAGAATTAACACACTCTTTTATTCATGTTTACTATTTTGATTCCTGATAAACTTGCTTGTCATTTGTTCTGCTCATCAAGACAATTTTACAATTCTGTACTGTTACAGGAAAAGCTTCAATTTCTATGACTCGTGTTGATTATCTTGTACTGTGTACCTGGGTCAACCATGGCCGATTCAGATATCTCTTATTTATTCAACCAATTTGGAGACACATTATGATAACCATCTCACTGCATGGTTTTTATCCCGAGATAGCGTTTGATTAGTCTGCCTTAGATAGCTGCCTTGCTTAACAGGCTGATTTTTCACACAACATCATCTGGTGTGGTTTTTTGTACTACTTTGTGAATCGTATGAGAGGTTAAATGATTCTTCTGTTTGACAGCTACCCAAGGGCACACATGAGTGGTCAAGCTTCCTTACCCCTGAAGAACTTGTTCTAATTCTTCAACGGGCCTCCATCTCTGTAAGTAGAATACATACCCCAGTCCTTTATTTTTTAGCCCTTTTTTAGTAGACATTGAATCCTATGAAAGGTGTCTCATGCTCTTGGGGTTTGTCCAGGTTCAAGAGATGGCAGGGTTTGTGTATAACCCTTTGACAGGAAAATGGTCTCTATCTGATGATATCAGTGTAAATTTCATCGCTTACGGCACAAAAAACACTGAATGAGCTATATCTTCAGCTGGATCAAGCTACAGTTTTGTCGAGGTTATATATTATAGTGGTTAGAGGCGGCTGCTGTTGGGTGGGATACTATGAACAAACAATTTTGTTTGGTCGGTATATAATCCGCAGTAACTTTTGTTCAAGACTTTATGAAGTTTAAGAAAGCACACTGCCGCAATTTGCAATGCAATTAGTAGGTGGCAGTATTTGTTTTTCGGAAATGGGACGTGTCCGGCTGCACCGAAGCCTCCGTAGCTGTTCTACTCTCTGCCCAGAATTGAAAGCCCAGAATTCAAAGTCGGGTTTGCTGACCAATGAGATAAATATTTCCTCTGCTCTGATTATTTGATTATTTTATTGGGTATTTTGGATTCCCGATCTTGTATTTTGGGATTATTATAGGTTAATATTAAATCTTTCCTTGTTCTTTTGTAGTTCACTTTTCCCATTTGTTTGCTTTTTATTTTTTATTTGCAAGCTACGAGCGAAAACCGACCATTTGGGCCATGTGAAATGTGCACGTTTTCCAGCACTTACTCAAAAATTATTTGCTTTCTTTATGAACATATCTCTCAGAACACATTTTTATCTTTTCAATCACATTTTTATTTTACGTACACTATATTACAAAAAAAGTGTTCTAATAATTATTCTAAATAATATTTCAAATAATTTGCTATTCAAACACGCTATTACGTGAAAACAAGTAGTCCGTTATTTTGATGCTTTAGAAATTAATCTTTTGTTTTCTTACAATACACCAAAGAAGCTTCTTTCTAGTGTGATATCGGAAGGGTTGATGTTAGAGAGCTCAAATTTTAATGTGTGTTTAGGTTATACATTATTTTTACTTTATTTATATACACTGATTTGCTTATATCATCAATATATTTTTTAACTATCTTTTTATTTTACATACATCACATTAAAAAAGTGCTATAGTCTTTTTTTACAAATTTATCTCAAATAATTACTATTCAAACACACTGATATATGTCGCAAAATTTTTTTGAAGAAATTATCAAATTTATAGGTCTTTGTAATTGGACTTATTTTACATCAAAAAAAAAAAGTATTGTGATTTTAATAAGAATTGATCTAAAATCAAAATCTAACGTGCTGCTGTATCACATGTGGATGGGAATTGAAAGTTGCTACTTGGTACAGTTTCTATTTTATGTTGTGCACTTTAAATTTGTTGATTTGATGTGAATTTCCATGGCTTTAAAGTTGGTTAAAATTTTAACTATTATACTGTATATATATATATATGTTAAAATTTTGAATTAGATGGATTATATATATATATGTTTTGGAAATTAACTTTTGAGAGTTCATTTGTTTGTGCTCCTAAATATAGTAACATACATTAAAAAAAAAAAAAGAAGGAGAAGAAGAAAAAAGAAAGAAACAAAATCCAAATTGTATTGCACAATAGTCAGTCAATAGGTGGATGAGAGAAGATAATCATTTGATTTATTATTTATTATTTAATTGGTTAGACGCAATAGCGTAAATGCTTACAGCGTACTTTCGCAAGCGATCTCTACGGATATATAAAGAGCTGTAACAATCACGAAACACTTCCTACTCTCTCTTTTCATCTCTTTCTTTACAACTGAATCTGAGCAAAAGAAAAGATGGAGAATTTGGATTCTTCGGTAGTGGCTCGTAGCCGTTTAGCGGTGCTCTCGGCTCACCTCTCAGCTTCAGCTTCAGCTTCGCATGACCATTCCGACGCCGTTCCGTCCTCAATTCTAGAACGTTCCTGCGTCTCCGCTCAATCCGTCCCGCCTCCGCCCAACGTTAAGGGTGCGTTGACGATCATCGATGAACGGACCGGTAAAAAGTACCAGGTCCAGGTCTCTGAAGAAGGCACTATTAAAGCCACCGATCTCAAAAAGGTTAACTTTTTTTTTTTTTTTCAAATAAAATTGAAGCCGAATAAGATGTCATTTCTCGCTATTAACTGCTGTAGCTATTCGTTATTTAAGTTTTGATTTTTTTTTTGTTTGAGTTTGTTATTGTTATAATTTCGGATTTATTTTTTTTTATTATTGAGAATTGAGTTTGTTTAAAGGTTACATGTCCAATTTTACATTTCTTTGGAATCCTTACTGTATATTTAGTTTTCATTTTATGAGAATGTACCGCAAAGGTATTGTCATTTTCAAAAGACTGGCTTTTGGTCTTTGTGTATTTTAAGGCCTCGAAATTAAAATATTTGGGATTGAGCGTGATGAAGTGCTTACGGAGCTGAGTAAAAATCTCATGTAGCATGATTTATATGATTGCTGAGCTGCATGTAAGATTAGTCGTGGTATTGGCTGTAAAAATTGGAATTCTAGGTTTGGAATTGCATGAAGGTATGGTAAATTCCATAGAGAGTAAAAAGTGAAAAAAAGGTGAAATTCTGGTTCGTGTTGGCTATTGTCTGAGGGGAGAAAATGTCTGGATTTTTGGAGATTTCTGATACAATTAATAAACAGATAACTGCAGGACCAATTGACAAGGGGCTCAAACTTTATGATCCAGGCTACCTGAACACAGCTCCTGTTCGCTCATCAATTTGCTACATTGATGGAGATGCAGGGATTCTTAGATACAGAGGCTTCCCAATTGAGGAGCTGGCTGAAGGAAGTTCCTTTGTCGAGGTGGCTTACCTCTTGAGTGAGTATTCCATAGATTTTGTGAATGATATTTTGCTCCCATTCTTCTTTACCATTTCTTTTCAATCAGGCATGTCATATACAGGGAAGTGAAAGTGTTGGGGTTGTGTGGAGTGGGCAGGGGGCAGCAATACGGGGTTCATTCTTTTGACCCTTAGTAAAACAAGAGTTTGAAGGTTCCCCTATGCATGAAGTACTAATTAACCAGCTACCAGGCTATTATTAAGATTCCCTTTCTTTTGATTCATACTTTTTGAGGACCGTAATCTGTTGGTAGCTACCTTTCTTTCTTGATGTAGAACTGAGTGTCCCCCAAATTGGACTTCGGCCAGCTCTGTGGCTTAATCTTCTGTGCAGATTGTTTTTATTATCCAAGACGAAGATCACCCTGTTATGAGTTCACTTGTTATGGCTTAATATGTGTCTATGGCTTAATACATTTCTATGGGCAGTCTGGTGCATGAATTTGTCTGGCTGGTGAGGACTCTTAAGTACCATAGGTGCTGTTAAGATTTCAATAAGGAGAGTGCAATTTGCATGCTTTCTTCCTTTCCTCATCTAATCCGGAATCATTTTCTATGTACAATTCTTGGGAAGTCGTAGAGGACGCAATTTGCAAGGCTTACTCTTTGCATGATCTGTTTGTTCGAATCACTTGTTTATGCTTGGAACTGAAGAGTTCTTGACAAATAAAGCGTTTTTTGTCTTGACAGTGTATGGCAATCTACCATCTGAAAGTCAGTTGGCAGATTGGGAGTTTGCTATTTCACAACATTCAGCTGTCCCACAGGGTATTTTGGTGCGTATATTTTATCATACAGTTGTTCTTTACTTGATGAGGAGACAAAACAAACTTTCTTCCTGAAGAATTTCTGATGTTTGTCAAATTCTGTTTTGCAGGATATCATACAGGCAATGCCTCATGATGCTCATCCAATGGGTGTGCTCGTCAGTGCCATGAGTGCTCTCTCTGTCTTTCATCCTGATGCCAATCCTGCTCTTAGAGTAAGTGAACCTTTACTTCAAGTACTTATGTTACCCTTGCCTTGTTATCTTAGTGGTAGGCATACTTAGGTTATAGGCGTTCATCTGATCCTGTTGATTTTATGTCTCTGGTAGATTATGATCATTTAGCATATTTGTTGATAAAAAACAAAGCAGGCGTTCATGTTATTTATTGCACATTTTGTTTTCTTGTTGTTTATGCAGGGCCAAGATTTATACAAGTCCAAGCAAGTTAGAGATAAACAAATAGTCCGCATACTTGGGAAGGTTGGTTATTTGCTTTAAGTTTCATCTGGCTATTTTGTTTTGTCATGAAGTGTTTTTTATTTATGATGATAGTTGATAGGGACTTTTTTTACTTGAAAAATATAACATAATAAAACTATCTGGCCTATTTCAGCTGTTTTTAAACTTCTATTTATCTTTTGCAGGCACCTACAATTGCAGCAGCAGCCTATTTAAGAATGGCGGGAAGGCCACCTGTTCTTCCATCAAACAATCTTTCTTACTCGGAGAACTTCCTATACATGCTTGATTCATTGTAAGTTGTGCTGCTATTTTTTGCCTAGTGCTTGGCAGATAATGGGAACTGCAGTACAGAAAAGTTTGAAACTTTATTCAGACTAATTACCTTTCTTACAAGTGTTGCATAATGTCCTGCATACATGCTGCTATAGCAACTAGGCATGCTTCCAAGGCATTTGGATGCTAATTTAACCCTTCATGTTGGCAAAATCTGCAGAGGTAATAGGTTGTATAAGCCCAATCCTCGTCTTGCTCGTGTTCTCGATATCCTTTTTATATTACATGCAGAACATGAAATGAATTGTTCCACAGCAGCTGCTCGACATCTGGCTTCAAGGTATATGAATTTTCTGTCTGCATTGAGAGAATATACATATGCTCTTGGGCAGAAATCTGATTCTCTTTTATGCAGTGGTGTTGATGTATACACTGCTCTTGCCGGAGCAGTGGGAGCACTGTATGGTCCTCTTCATGGTGGAGCCAATGAGGTATATTGCCATTTTTTCTTTTAGAAACTAAAAACTTCAGTTGACCGGCGACAGCATTGCAAATGCTAAGCTGGATAAAAAACGTTATTGACATTGTTACCTGTCAATATGATGTTAACAGAGATGTCATTGGTTTTATTTTTGTTTAGCCTTAGTCTTATAGTGCAACACTGCGCATAGCTAAGCTTGCTTTTCTTCTGCTTCAAAAGGCTGTGCTTAAGATGCTGAGTGAGATTGGAACAGTTGACAAAATCCCGGAATTCATCGAGGGTGTGAAGAACAGGTATGGCTTTTCAGACAAATGATGATACTATCTCTTAGCATATGGCTTCATTGCTTTTCTGCTGATATTATTTTGGAATATTAATTCTGTAGGAGGCGCAAGATGTCTGGTTTTGGACACCGTGTATACAAGAATTATGATCCCAGGGCTAAGGTCATAAAGAAGCTGGCAGAAGAAGTATTTTCAATTGTTGGCCGGGATCCTCTCATTGAGGTGGAATTTGTTCACTTTAAATATTAACTATCATCTATTTGAGTTGAACCAAGTACTGGCAATCACTAGTTTGTAGCATAAGCTTTTATAATTTGAATATATTGTCCTTTCATCTTTATAAAATACCACTTATTTTGCACTATATAATCTGATTTCTTATGCCACCTGCAGGTTGCAATTGCTTTGGAGAAAGCTGCCCTTTCAGATGAGTACTTTGTTAAGCGAAAGTTGTATCCTAATGTTGACTTTTACTCTGGGCTAATATATAGGTAATGGGGAAAATAAATTTGATTCCACTCTTATCAAGCAAGCAATTCTTAATGCATTATCTTCTTTCTAACAGATTTTCATTATTCTTGATCAGGGCAATGGGTTTC